AATTTTGCTGCATGGATATTTTATCCAGGCAAAGTATTTTACACCATAAATTACATATTTCTCTTTCGACGTCTGTTTTTGGTTCTGTTATTGTCATATCATCATTCATATTTGCTGCTGTAAAATCCAGTTTTGGCAATAGTTTTCGATCGATTTTTCCATTTGAGTTCAGTGGGAATTTATCTAATATTGTAAACATTGTGGGTACCATATACAGTGGTAAATGTGTTTGACAATACAGTTTTGCTTGAGATTTCAGTTTATCCCCTTCATTCATAGCGTTATTTGCTGCCATTTGAATATATGCTATGAGATAATCTTGTTTTGTCTTATCATCATGAACTTTGTTGACAACACAATTTGAAATTTGACTTGATGATGACTTCACGATTACATTTTCTATTTCCCCCAATTCAATTCGTTGTCCTCTTAATTTTACTTGAAAGTCGGTTCGCCCACAATAGACAATTTCACCATTGGCATCGTATTTACCCAGATCACCTATCGGAAGAAAACCATAACGGAGAGTACTTAACGATAATGACATAACGTGAAAAAAGTATACCTGTTTTATAACATTTTGCGTTTATGTTTGGTAGATGCACGAGAGCTTCTGCTGTTAACTCATTTGACAAATAACCTATAAACACGCCCGCTCCTTTTGAAATAAAAACGAAGAAAGAAAAGAATTAAAGGTAAACAATAACGTTCTTGTTCTATTTTCTACCTCCAATATAAATTTCTCCAATCTCACTGATTTTTACGGGTTGTAAGTATTGATCTAAAATGTAACATTGATAGTTTGGTAATGGATAACCAATTGGTATTAATGATGCGTTAAGATCTTTTTCATTGACCATATGATACGTCGATGCAATTGTGCATTCGGCAGGCCCATATAAATTATATATTCTGACATTTGACGATAGATTCACTGCTAGTTTTGCTATTGTTCGTGGTACAATGGCTTCACCTAAATGTACAACATTGGCTAGTTTCAATTTTCATTGCTATAAGAAACATCCACTGATGAGGCAAGACTATGTATGATCTGGTTTGTAGGAAACTGCTGATAGAATCCTGCGGGACAAACTTTTCAGTTGCCCCGAACCCGAACAGAAAAATTTTTGAAGCCCGAGCCCGTGAGCAGATAATGTTGTCCCGAACCCGTCTATCCCATGAAAAAAATTTATGGGGTTTTTTGCCCCGTCCCGTTTGTCCCGTCATTTTTTGAAAAGGTTTTTCTGCTGTGATAAACCGAAACTATTACAAGCGACGCTTAAAGCCTCAAACTCAGTTTTGCAAAAATTCGCATGACAAAATTCAAGCCTATTTTATTTGGGTCTAAACCTAAAAGTTGCAGTATAAAAGAATGCTTTACATCCATCCACTCACTAGCTCGGAATCGAAAGGAAAGAACGGTAAACCTAGTTTTAGATATGGAACATCTCAAGTTTAAATCCGGATTATTTCGCCTCTCCAGGTTAATTTTTATTAGTTATTGTAAAATTACGGTTTTCACATGATAGTACTGGTTGGCCCAGAACAAATGGCCCTTCTCATATTTTGCTTATAATTTCTTTGCTTTTCAATCCTTAGACCTGATCGTTTTTTCAAAAGATGCACCGTCGAATTCTCTACCAGACTTGATCAAACTTATTTCTATAACAAGTTAAGGAGAAAAATGAAATGAAGAATACTCAATACAATGAAAAGGACCAACTTTCTAAGCTGAAAGAACGTTTTGTTCCACCACTTTTATTGAGTTGGATGATGAAAAGAAGAGAATACACGCATTTGTAGCCATTGAAAAGCTCTATCAACCAGTATTAGATGCACAATGTAAAATCAATCTTACACCAAAATAGCACCTTTCTAGCTCGGTCTTTTTTTATTTTGATGAGAAATGATACTTGTGCCAGATTCAGCTGCGAAAGTTACCTTAAAGCTTTCTTCATAAATTCACCTGCCGAGCAACAGCAGATTTTGGTCATCTTCGGGTGAATTTTGGAATGTCAGATTTTTCAGTGCTAACTTAGATTTGAACGAATTGTGAACTGCATAAGGAGAAAGAGCGTACTTTAAAGTACTCAAAAATATCTTCAGTTTTGTTTCGTTGTCTTTAGTCTTGTTTAAAATATTCCAAAATTTGTAAAACAAAATAGCAGAGAAAGTTGGCCCTTTCGTCATGATGAATATTTTTCGTTTCATTTTTCTCCTCAACTTTTTATAGAAATAAGTTCGATCAAGTTTTGTAGAGAATCTGACTGCACATCTTTTGGATAAACGACCAGGTCTAAGGATTGAAAAGAAAAAAAAATTATAAGCAAAATATGAGAACAAAACTTACATGACAACATTTTTCTGCAACTTGTCGCGACTCCGTAAGCCCGAGCCCGTGAAACTTTTTTCTTGCCCCAAACCCATGAGCTTAAGCCCATAAGTTTTTTTTGTCCCGACTCCGTCTGTCCCATGGGACGGGACAGATGGGATTCGGGGCTGCCCCGCAGGAGTCTAACTGCTGACGACAAAAAATGATTTTCTGCCATTCTCAGTCGATATTAAGAGTAAAGAATTATGTTGTGGGAAAGTGAATATCTTAAAATTTTGATCAATTCTTGGTGGAGCGTGCTTATATTTCTTATCATATGTATAAGATCCTGCCATTGTTTTATCGCACCATATTACATATATGTGCCTGATCAAACGATATCATTTATTTTTTCTAATTGTACAACTTTTGTTAATAACTTTTATTTGAGAAAAACACAATAACTAGTACGAAGTTTTGACCGAAAATCTTTCTATAACATTTTGTTGTTTACGTTTGAATTTATTATTATGTGTATGTGTTTCCAGAAGTTTCAATTATAAAACGGTGAGCGTTTCACTTTATCTTCTCCTTGCTCACAATAAAATATTTCCTCTATCTGTTTCCTACTCTCTGGTGTGAATAAGTTTAAAAATATATGAACTTACCTATGGAACAGAAACATTGAATTGTTTTTAAACGTTGAAAACAATTTATTTCTGCTAAATAATCGCATAATAAGCTTGTTATGGTTGGTACAGTATGCATACGTGTTACTTGATGTCGTTCAATTGTTGATGATAAATAGTCAATATCGAGTGTTTTAAGCATTACTAATGACGCGCCCAATACCAATGAACCCAACAGATCTTCTACATGTATATCAAATGAACAGTTAGAGATTTGAAGAAATACATGCATATCATGGATTAAACTAACATGTTTAGCCGAATGAACGTATGATATAAAATTGTTGTGACTAATTTGAACGCCTTTTGGTTTACCTGTTGAACCAGATGTATGAATTAGATAAGCAATATCATTTGAATCTATTTCAACGTTCAACAGTTGGTTATTATATGTAGGCAATAATGTTGTATTAATAATAAATGATTCCGTATTGAATAATGTAATATTTTTATTCTCGAATCTGTCTCGAACAGACTCGAATTTTGATTCCGTTTGTGAATGTACTAAAACCAAGTGACTATGTGTATTCTGAATTATCGTACATAATCGTTCAATGCCGTCTAAACAATAGAGTGGACAATAGACACATCCAGCCGCTATTATGGCTAAAACACCGATGACCATTTCGATCGATCGTTCAGTGCATTGACAAATGATTTGTTTTGATTTAACATTGATATTTTCAACTAAATGATGAGCAATTAGTTGAACATAAAACAATGTTTCACCATACGTTAATGATTGATCATCTAACAGAATAGCTAATTTTTGTGGATGTTTATTGGCACTTTTAACAAATTCGTGGTGTATACATTTCTTTTCATGTTCGAAATCGACATATGTTCGATTAATACTATTGATCAATCGTATTTCTACCGATAATAATAATGATAGTTCATATAATGGCTGCTTATCTTTGTCAAAAGATGATAATTCTGAAAATATTTGTTGTAACAAAACTTCGAAACGATTGCTCATATTCTCTATTGTTTTCAATTCAAATAAATCGGTTGCATATTCAAATGAACATGATATCTTTGATTCTTGAATATCATAATTAACGTCCAATATTAAATCAGTGTTTGCCACATTTCTACCATTGTAATCACTAAATACAAGACATAATCCTGTATGTTTATCTAATTCTGCCATATTCGTACTTGATAAGTCATTCACCAAATTAAATATGAATAATGTTTGGAAAAATGGTAATGATTGTTCCTGTTTATTACTACTATTTGTACTGACATCGCGACGATGTAATTGTATTATATCTTGATAAGG